TTACGGTAAAACACATCTAAGAATATCTCGCCTGCAGCAATTGAATAACGCATCACTTCTGAAACCCTTTCATGGACTTTTGTTTGTCCTTCCTCTGCTAATGAGATTCTCACTCTGATCAAGCGGTTAACCGAAGCCTAACACTTTTAAGCCATTTCGCACCCACGCAGCCTTTCGAAAAAAAAAACGCTCTGCAGTCTATGAACACGCTAAGGGTAACTGCAACTCACCACAAACAAAGGATGTCACCGAAAGATCCTTGCTACCAATGTCAGACTTCAGATTCAACGTACAGACAGGACAGGAACTGAAACACCAGAATGCCATTTTCTGTCCCAGACATGGTTGCAATTGCATACATTTGGCAGTTTGGATACAAACCATAGATCTCTAGCAGTTACATGCTGCAATGTGAATTTCCAACTTTCATCTCTGCACTTGCTTTATATGTTCTGGCGAAACTACAGAATAAACATAAATAATATGAAAAAAGGTTGAAAAATCCTCTAAAAAAAAAACAGTTCGTTGTGTTTAACTCATCGAAAAAATCAAGTTGACTAATAGTAAAACTTAGCAGCATTCTACCCCGCAAAAACTTCATCTAGTTCAACATAAGCTCAAGAACAAGAAGCTGGTCGACGGAGGCGATGAGGTACTCAACGCCAACTCGTACTAAGCTTTTTGCATGGCTTCCTTTAAGTAATGGGGAGGCGGCGAAATTGGCGAATCCCTAGGAATGCAGGATGTTCAATAAAAAAAATTATGCAGCGAGGGTTTGGAGAACCGTGAGGCTACTCGTCAATGGCGAAAAACTCTGGAATTTCGACTTGTGTCAGGCCTGGAAAGTCTTGGTTCTCCAGGCAGGAGCACAGTGTGCTGATAACGGCGATTTTCACTGTCGACAGTACCTCAGCTCGGACTTAGTTATTTTAGAATAGACATATATAACTGATTGCGTTGACCTTAACGTCATATGCAAGGTGTTGCGAGTGGTGTTTAACCAAATGCATTTATTCTGACGATATCCATGAAAGACTTTGGGCTACCACGCTACCTAGACATTCAGAGAGCTAAATACCCACGGATCCAAAACTTCAGGAGGAGTCAAGTCCCATGCCTCTGATTTGAAGGAAACCTTCTCATGAGGAACTCTATCATAAGCTTTTGTAAAATCGATGTAGAAGACGTTGAGCTGATCTTACTGCTAAAGGCACCGGTCCAATCATAAAGACACAAGATCAGTTTTGTTTCAACAGATTGGTGGAACGAACCCATGTTGATGTATTGGAAGACTGAGCAATCAATGGCAACTAATATGCACTTTTAAGATTTCTTCGAACAGTCAAGAGAAAGAAAATGCCATGCTATGGAGGGGTCAAACGCAGAAGAAGGCGGTTCTGTCGATAGAGAATATGATGGTGAAGAAGATGACGAAAAAGATGGTCGTAAAGATGACGAACAAGAAGATCGTACTCACCCACTGCAATCAATGATCCACGAATACATAGGAGCTTGAGATTGTCCATCTCGCCGCACCAAGTTGTTCGTTCTCAGTGAAATGATTTCGAAAGTCGTGAGATTAAGACCGCGCAAGGTCTCGGAAATTACCTAAAACATAAAACCATGAAAATTTGTTGAGTCCCTTCTGAGAACAAACAAAACGTGATTGACTTTTAACAATACCTCTGAGTTAACTTCATCTCGTTTCAGTGCTTGATCGCGTATGCCAAGCAGTGAAAGCGTAGTCCAGTGTTCAGTAGAAAGCGTCTTCAACAGAAACGAGTTCTCCTTGAAAATCAACATCAGTTCACGATAGCCTATCACAATCGAGGCGAGTGCGAATACCTAAAACATGTCACATGACGGGGAATATGAAGAAGATGAACTTGAAGATGAAGATAATGATGGAAGAGTCTACAAACCACTCTGACGTCCACAGCTAGTATCCAGTCCATTTCATTTAGCGATTGAAAAATCGTTCCGCTTTCATCAAGACTTTTCTCTTCCTTTTCAATCTTCGGACAATCAGTTCCGGCCATATTCGCAAAAGAGTGGTTTTCATAGACACCTGAAAATAAAATCAGGTCTCAAAACTGTGGATGCAAATAATTCAATGAAGTCATTTAACATTCAAGCATTTCTGTCCGTATGAAATGGTCATCGGCTCAGCGTTTTTTCAAGCTGGCTACCGTTTGGGATCCTCGGGGTCAAATCTAGTACAGGACATCCACTGATGTCTGGGCAACAGGGTTGAAGCGATCCATTTCATCGTTCGACGAAATCAGTCATGTTCTTTTCTTTCTAAGTGATTGCCTTTCTGAACAGCAAAGTGCTGAAGTCAGAATTGAACAACTGAATCAAATTCGGAACTTGATTACACAAAAACCACAAGTTCCATATGTTCAGTTTTATAATATTGAACGAAGCACTCCAGAAACTTAACTTGCACGTATGTGCCAACATATAAGTCACAATGTTGTTGCAACATTTTCAGCAGATTATCTGGAGGTCAGCACTCGTACAGGCAACTTGAAGGCACTCATGCAACGGCCCTCAATCACCTCCAGGCCCTTAGCTACAGCAAGGTACTAAGTTGCTGAGTATGACCAGTCCAATCCATGCGGGTGTCCATTTTTCATTTTCTATTTACTGCACCGCCCATGGCGAAACATTGACCACTGAATTTGGTAGTCGAGTTCCCCACGATTATATTACGAACTTTTCAGCCAACACAGTCTCGGTCAGACTCTCAACCAAGGAAGCGTTTCCTTTGCTGCTTCTAAAAATTGAGAGGAATGTTGTATTGCAGCTGCAGCCACAGAAACGCATTGCCACCGGCAGCATACACGCTTATTACCTTCGAAAGTTCGCTGAAACGGTCCAAGAAAACAGATATACACATAATCCACGAAAAATCCAGGTACCATATATGTAACTGATAAGACCTATGGAAATTTGATGGGATGCTGCTGATATACGGTTTCTCATCCAAACTAATACTCAGCATTGTCCCCTCTGACTACTACTTATCACAGCCGTCAAGCCAGTCATAGAAGAGAAAAGATCACCAAAGCTGGCCATGCTGAAAGGGCGATCAGCCAGTTTTTTGACTCTCAACCCTTCTAAATTCCCAAGGCAAGATCGCAAGACAGCTCACTGTCAGTGTCACGAGGAAGAAGGTGATAGGGCCTTTAAAGATTTTCTACTGGCTGCTGAACAAGAATATAAATAAGAAAGGAACCAAGCGGGTCAAAACTCTAAAAATGAAGGAAAATCTACACGACTTGCCGTTCTCGATTGGTGATTTAGCAGAACTTCTGAAGCTCAGTGCGCTCGATTGTACGAAACTGTCAAACAAAGTAGAACGCATTCTTTCGTCATTCATTGAAATACATCGTTCGTGCATCTTTTTTGGATTCGGGCGCACATTGTCAGGAAAGAGATCAAGTGCCTCCTGACTTTTTCCTAGAAAATCTCATTTTAAATTCTTTGAATAAAAATAATCAGGCAGAAAACCAAACAAATTGGTGAAAAGGTCAAGACTAGCATTATAACGAACTAAATATAGTCAAACATCTGCTGAGGGCAGTTTCGCAATGAATACATGGAGATCTTCCAGCTTCCCGTGATGACAACCTAAAGGTAAGTAGCTTCCTCCAGTCATCTCGTGTTACCGGGATGGCACCTGAATACGAGTTAAAAAGCAAAAAGGAAAAGCATGATTTGAAGAATACTTACCAGAGTCCACATTGTTGTAGGTAATTTTGACCCGTTTGCACACCTTCACCATCATTGCAGCAACAAGCCATGACCCAAAAAAAAGAGGTAAACGAGAACAAAAGTAGTTCTAAAAAAATTCTAGGATAAAACTAACTTATGTATTCTGCACTGGTCACAGCGTTCATCAATTGCAATAGATGATAATGAAGTTGTGGATGCAGTATTTTCCACAAAAGAGTTATTAGCTCTTATAGTTTCATTGTCGGGGGAAGGTGATCGATCTGAACAGTAAAGTGAGCAATCGTGAGCGATTTTATTTGTTGGCGACTCTGACGCTAATTATTTGATCTTTAAGTCGAAGACGACTGTGCAAAAATTTGTACGGTCACACCTGATTAAGCTTTCCTCGCACCTAGACGCGGAGTGACATAAGCTTCATAAGGTGCGAAATCTCGGCGTTAATTATGATGCCCACACATCGCTAGTAGTCGAGTTAAAAGTTCTCAACCGAAGAAAATAATTAAACGAGTTTTGTGAAAGGAGAAGTTTCGACAACAATTCCAACAGTCTTAGGAGTTCTATTTCTATGCATAGTAGGTAAATTCAATATATTTCTATTTAAATTGAAAATGGGAAAAAGCGGTCCAGTTCATATTTTTCCGGGAGTTCTGCTCATTTGCGATATTAAACGACCTTTGCAGAAGCGAGATAGTTCTCAACAGTTGTTTAATATTGGGGCTCCTCTCAATTAAGAGCTCACTGGACACCCTTCATCACTTATTGTTAGGCCAATTCACAGTTTTCACGGCATGTAGCATGACTTCAGGCTAGAAACAGCATTCAGAAGAGCGCTCACCAAGTACTATTTGACCAAGTGGGTGATTGCTTAAAATACCGCTGCTCATTTTATAAAA